ACACACACACTCTCACACTCACATACACACACTCACATACACACACACTCTCACACTCACATACACACACTCACATACACACACACAGCACACACACACTCTCACACTCACATACACACACACATACACACACACACTCTCACACTCACATACACACACACAGCACACACACATATACACACACATACACACACACAGCACACACACACTCTCTCTCACACTCACATACACACACTCACATACACACACACATACACACACACACTCTCACACTCACATACACACACTCACATACACACACAGCACACTCACATACACACACTCACATACACACATATACACACACAGCACACACACACTCACATACACACATACATATACACACAGCACACACTCACATACACACACACAGACACACACACACTCTCACACTCACATACACACACACATACACACACAGCACCAGCAGGGAGCAGGCCCTACCCTGCGAGTCTTCCGTCTTGAACACTCGGAAGAGCCTGGTGGCCAAGAAGCCAAACTCGCGCTCGCAGGCGTCCGAGAGGGTGGCGATCATCTCGGCCATGGACGTCTCCCCGCCGACGCTGGACAGGCGGTTGTAATCCGTGAACAGGAACCTGCCGGGAGGAAACGGCCTCAGCTCTCCCAGAAGCCCCTGCGCATCGCCTGTGTCAGGCCCCTGCCTGTCTGTGTCTCTTTCAGAAGATTGTTTTTAAAGTGAAGGAGGGAAAAGAACTCGAAGTCAGGCATCTTCTGCTTCGAACTCCTACGCACGTCTCTGTGGAAAGACCATTAACAAGCCACACACAGCCAAGGGACAGCAGCAGCTCCGGCTGAAGGCGGAGAGGAAGGGCCGTGAGGGCCCAGCGGCCCGCCCGCGGCAGGTCTCACGAGGCGACGAGAAGGCGGCACGCCATGAGGGTGCAGAGCGGCACTTCGGGAAGGTTCCTAAGCACCAACGGGGCGATTAGAACCAGAGGACACGTCCTAGTCCCTGAGAATTTAATGCCATTTAAAAACTCAGGCTCTAGCCCTAGCTGGTTTGGCTCAGTGGATAGAGCATTGGCCTGTGGACTGAAGGGTCCCAGGTTCGATTCCGGTCAGGGGCACATGCCGGGGTTGCGGGCTCGATCCCCTGTGGAGGACAGACAGGAGGCAGCCAATGAATGATTCTCTCTCATCATTGATGTTTCTATCTCCCCTCTTCCTTTCTCTCTGAAATCAATAAAAATATATATTAAAAAAATAAAATAAAAACTCAGGCTCTAGACCAGCGGTTCTCAATCTGTGGGTCGCGACCCCTTTGGCGGTCGAACGACCCTTTCACAGGGGTCGCCTAAGACCATCCTGCATATCAGATATTTACATGACGATTCATAACAGTAGCAACATGACAGTGATGAAGTAGCAACGAAAATAATGTTATGGTTGGGTCACAACATGAGGAGCTGTATTTAAAGGGCCAGAAGGTTGAGAACCACTGCTCTAGACTGTTTCATTTATAGCTTAAACCTCGACCAGAGACTTAAAGATAAGTCATAAAATACTCTATTCGAGTTGCTCTTTGAAGTAACGGAATTGCTTACATTTGAATTCCCTGGGTGAACAGTATGTCCGCACGTTCCCCTCCCTCCCTCCCTGAGTGCGCTCTCCTCCGCCAGCAGACAAGCCCGGCTTTCACGCCGTCTGGGGCCCCACTGCCCCGCACTGCACTCTGCTCTCCCTGAGGCTGTGTGAAGTGATCTCTCTTTTTAACGTGATACCATCTTGTTAGTTTAAAATGTGTCCTTTCCTGTAAAAATATTTCCCCCAATTACTTTATTCTACTCTGTAAGTTTTCTTTTCAACTTTTTATGTTTACATCCTTTTCTTAACAGACTCTCTTACCTGCAGGCTTATGTCTTCCTTCTTCTCATGTTACAGCTGCGACAGTTTGTGTGGTTTGGCCTGTTTTCATCTACAATTGCACATGTTTTACCTTAGTCACTGTGACGTCTTCCCTTCAGCGCATGTGGAATTCTCGTGCTCATTTCCATTGACTTCCTCCTGCTTCAGCTGTTTCCACTGCCTCCTGCTTCAGCTGTTTCCACTGCTTCCCCCGCAGCCCCGCCCGTGCCTGTGCCCCCTCGCACCTGTGCCCTCACACCTGTTCTCACCCCCCTGCATGTCTCCCCAGGCGTTTCCCACGTGACATTACTGATAACGTCAGGCAGGCAGGTAGCACGTGCCCACAGCGAGCTGCCCAGTCACAGCCGGCACAGGAGGTGCCAGGACCCAGCCCAGGGCCACGCTCTGTCCACAAGTGTCGCACGGACGGCAGTAGGTGTCACAGGGGAGGGGGCAGGCACAGATAAAACCTGCAAATCCAAGTTAAACGATTCTTCATGGGCAGGTTCTCTGACCTCTGATGTGCAGGAGGAGTGGGACACGGAGTGCTCCCAGTGTCCTTGGCCAGGCCGGCTGTTGGTTTTACTTCTGTAAAAGCTTCTGAAGCGGGCACTGAGAATGCGCATTACAAACTGGATTGTGCCTCGTCATGTTAAGTCACTGTCGCAGGGACCGACTCACCTCACGGGCAAAGCCTTCGTGGTCTGCTCGGGCAGCTCGGGCGGGTTCACAAACATCAGCTTGAGGAGCAGCTCCAAGTACCCGATGTGCCTGGCCAGCCTGGTGCTCAGCACCCAGGCCCAGTTCCAGCTCTCTCCTTCCCTCCGGCCACCGAAGTAAATGACGGCTGAAACACAGAGTTAAAATAATGACCACACCCCCAGGGCCAGGCAGCCCCTCCTCCCAGCAGCCAGACAGCAAGTCCGACGGCAGGCCCACGTAGCTCTTCCTGGTCCTGCCACTTTCTACCACTCCCCCACCCCCACCCCCCGGCTCCTCCATGCCTGAGCCTCCGCCACACACAGGAGGCATGAGCAGGGAACGTTAACAGCTGAAACACGACGTAAGCAAGACGATGCCTTCCACAGAAGCATGATCAGATCTCAGAGCAAACAACGTGGGGTTTGTCACTGTTTCCTTTCTTACAACTGCAGACACCCCAAGGACATGGGTTTTATATTTTTTCTTTGCTTTTATATAAAAATTACAACCATGATCAAAACGCTCAAGAACATGCCAGTGATACTATGAAGACTTATTTTCAAAACAAGATTTAAATACAAAGCGCTAACAAACATACACGTGGGTGAGTGCAGTAAACTAGGGTTCTGCTTCACTACTGACAAGCAGACTCTCGTTTTCAAAGCTGCTCCTGCCAGGCTGTGGGCATGGTCCTCTAGGCCAGCGGTTCTCAACCTGTGGGTCGTGACCCCTTTGGCGGTCGAATGACCCTTTCACAGGGGCCGCCTAAGACCATTCTGCATATCAGATATTTACATGACGATTCCTAACAGTAGCAACATGACAGTTATGAAGTAGCAACGAAAATAATGTTATGGTTGGGTCACAACATGAGGAACTGTATTAAAGGGCCAGAAGTTTGAGAACCACTGGGCTAGGCCAATTTACAAAGCAGCAAAAAGACCCATTTTCTAAGTGATTTATGAAATTCACTTAAAGGTCTTGAGAGAGAGGTGTAGACGATGTTTAGGTACAAGAGTCTTGACATTCTCCACGTCTCTGCAAACAGCAGCAGCGAAGACTTACTGAAGAATATGTACAGGAGCGCCAGGCAGCTCAGCGACACGGCTACTCCGAGGGTCAGGTCAACCGTGAAGGCGACCAGCAGGCCCAGGCCCCCGCAGAGCAGCAGCGTCAGGAACACGACCAGCCAGGAGAACTGGAAGAGAGGCTCGGTCTGCTGCCCCGCGAAGGTCTTCATTTCATCTGGGGAGTGAGCAGAAAGCTTTATTCCTGCTTTAAGAACCAACTCCTAACTTCACATCTATATATACAAAAGCCTAAGCCACCAGTGAGGCAGAACTGGTCGCTATGACGCGCACTGACCACCAGGGGGCAGATGCTCAGTGCAAGAGCTGCCCCCAGCCCACAGGCCCCAATTGCCGATGGAGCCTGCAGGCCAACCTTCTGGTCCCTCCCCGCACCGGGCCCCCGGCTGGGATGGGGAACCGGGGTGGGTGGCAGCAGATGTAGCCCCTTTCCCAGGGGGGCCGATGGCCAGCTCCCTCCTCAGGGCCGGCAGCCAACTTCCCAGTCCCTCCCCGATCAGCCCATCACCCGCCCGCCAAGGTGGTGGTCGGCCCCTACCCCCGGCCAGCAGGCCTCAATCGCCCAATCAGGCCTGGGCCCCAGGCTGGGACGGGGAACCGGCAGTGGGTGGCGGTGGACACGGGCGGAGGAGGGGGGAGGCGGGGAACTTGATTGGCCCTGATCACCGGCCAGCCCTAGGGACCCCACCCATACACGAATTTCGTGCACTGGGCCTCTAGTTGAAAAAAAACATTATGGGGCACTTACTAAGGCCCTAGATAAAATGTTGCTACTTAGCCACTTAACCAAGGTTCTCTTTGGATCAACATAAAAGTCCCATTCCCATGGAACCCCCAGCTTCCTGTGGAGATGCACCAGTCCCTGTCAGGCACTTCCTCCGTCAAGGTGGTGTTGATGGTTGTTTTTTGTGGTTTGTATTATACAAGCAACAAGGTGTTGCTGTAGGTGAACGGAAAACGACTCATACTTCGCTATGTGTCTTCACTAGTGACGCCTCCATTCACTCCTCTCTGAAACTGCTCCTCACCCCTCCTTCCAATCATATCTGAGAAGCGCAGTTCTCAAAGGTGTGCTGAGCCCAAATGAGCTTAAATAACTCATTCTTTCTACCAAACTCCACATGGATCCCCAAGTAAAACTCGGTTTTTCTTTTCTTCGCAAAAACGAAAACCACCAGCAAACCCTGGCTGTGTACGGACCCTCCAGCTTCTTGAGGAGGAAGGACTTGCCGCTGCCCCACTGCGCGTACAGCCCCACGCAGATGGGCGGCTGCATGGTCGGCTCGCTGAGGATGTCCGCCAGGGCGCTGCTGTACAGGTCGTAGCCCAGCATGTCGCCGTCCGTTTCCGTGGGCGACAAGTGTCCTGTAATTATAAACGCACCAGGGCCGTATGTGAGAGAGACACTAGAAGGAAACATCCATTCGTATCTATTGTTTATTGAATTAGGAAAAACTTAAATGTGTAAAGCAGGTTCTGATCCTCTTAAATACCACATTTTATAGACCTCAAGACCCCTACTGAGTGTAGGACGCACCATGACCACGTACAACCAAGAGAGAAAAATGCTGCCAATTGCGGCGTGATGCTTTCTACCCGCCAATGGAGGCGCGTTCTGATCTGCGATGCTGAATGCAGAGTGGGGTGCATTCGGGAACAATGTGATGTGTGACAGCTACACACAGAAAGCGACACAGCACTAGCGAAGACCACACCGACTCGGAGAAGAGACACTCGATGGTCCAGGCAGAAAGGCTCAATGACTCACAGACCTCAATTCTCCCCAAATCAGTCTATCACTTTAAGGCAATTCCAATCAAAATCCATGAGAAGATTTTAAAAACTGAAAAGCAAAGACATGTGGAAGTAGCTAAGAAACAATTTAAAGACACCAAAAGCAGGTGTCCATAGAGCTACAACTAAAACATCACAGAACTCACCCAGGAACTAACATAAACACTTCAAACCAGCGGGAAAGAATGATTTGGTGAGTGGTGGTAAGAAGTCAGACATCCATTTTAAAAAATAGAATTATAGCTCCATATACCTCATACCTTGTATAACAAAAATAAATTTCTGAAACATAAATAAATGTAAAAAGTAAAACCATAAAAATACTAGAGGAGTCTGGTGGGCATGGCTCAGTGGTTGAGCATCAACCTATGAACCAGGAGGTCATGGTTTGATTCCTGGTCAGAGCACATGCCCGGGTTGCGGGCTGGATCCCTGGCCCTGGTCGGGGCACGTACAGGAGGCAGCCAATGGGTGTGTCTCTCTCACATCAATGTTTCTCTCTGTCTCCCTCCCTCCCTTCCACTCTCTCTAAAAACCAATAAAATAGCCTCGAGTGAGGATTAACAACAACAACAAAGAAAATATAAACACAAATGCTCGAGTATTTAAATGAGGCGAAACTGGTATGTGTTTAGGTAAAGTGTCACTGAGAAGGTGGCGGCTGGCCCGAGCCTTGGAGAGAGAATTTTAACAAATAGAGGCAGCCGTGGGGATGGCGCGGGCAGACCTGGGTGGGCACACCACCAGCCGAGGCAGGGAAGTGTGGGTGCTCGCGCCACCCTCAGAAAACTGTGTGTTTTGATGAGCAGCACAAGGTACGCCTGGGGGGATGGTGGCGGGGAGATTTTTAGAAAAGGAGGCGAGATGTTGAGGCCTCACAGGCTGACTGATCGGCCTGAATGCGCGTCATTAGAAAGCTGCCCTGCGGTGCAGAAGAGCTGCGCCAGGGAGGAGCACTTGTCCACAGCAAAGTAACGACTTTATCGTCTCCATGAAGAGGCGGCGGCCTCTTCGTTCCCCAGGGAGGAGCAGGCGCAGGCGCAGTACTCACTGGCTCCGAATATCTGAGTCAAGATGCTCTTCTGGTGGCTGCAGTCGATGTTGTAGGGCGTCTCGCCCGCCTTGTTGGGCCGGTACAGCAGCCGGCCGTCCTTGGGGTTCCTCAGGAGCAGCTCCGCCAGCTTCCGGCTCCTCCCGCGGATGGCGATGTGCAGAGGGGTGTCTCCTTTCTGCAGAAGGCGCAGGGGAGGGGGCGGCGTGTCGTCACAGGGGTGCACACGGGAATACCCTCCCGCTGCTGTAAACGACTGCCAATCTGAGCTCTTCCTGTGTCAGACACCAGACCCAAGCCACGGGCACTTCTCTCTCCCACCCTCAGCAATGTCTTCCCTCGGTCCTTTCCTCGCCTCCCTCCAGACTGGCTTCTCCCGCAGCCTCTGAAAGAGGCCCTTGTCCTCCGCCCCCGAGTCACTAGGGAAAGCAGCAGCTCCTCCTGCCGCCCCTGCCGCCCACCCCCCGCCAGGGACCACTCCCGCCCAGGTGAGTAACCACCCTCCCACCAGCATTTGTATCCAGATGTCAGGGTCTTCCTCAGCCAGTGCACACCTGCTCCCGCCTCCTCCCCACAACCGCCCCGCTGCTGCCGCGTCCACCATGAAGAGGAGGGAGCAGGCGAGGTGCAGGGGCCCCTCCCCCAGGGGACACCATGCCATCTTCTCCGAGCCGTCCTCCTCCGGCCCCTTTGGAGTCTGCCCTGCTGGGCACCTGCAACAGCTCCCCACACCGGGAAGCTGGCAGGGCATGGGGCTCCCACCCAGGTGTCCCAGCAGGTGACCTCCCTGCACACACCCAACCAGCCCCCGAAGCCCAGGGCGCAGGCCAGCTGCCGGCCCCTCCCCACCGCCTGCCCCGCTCACCCTGTCCACGGCAGACACTTTTGCCCCTTTGTCCAGCAGCAGCTCTACCACCTCGATGTTCCGCATCTTGGTCGCCTTTATCAGCGGCGTCTCGCCGTCCTGCGGGCACAGAAGGAAGTGTGTCACCTTGACAGCTTCCCTCCGACATGCTAAGGTCACATGAACACATCTCCAAGAATTCGGGCATCGGCCTCCGGACCAGTCTATGTTCAATGTTCTCCAGGACACACAGCCGTAAAAACTAACACGCTTTTCCTATCACAACCCATCTTCTGTATCAGAATAATGTGCTATCACTCAGCCGAGCATGAGATGTGGCCCACGACCCCAGCTCCCTGCCCACACTGCGGCCGCCACCCCCAGCTCCCCCGCGACCTCGGACAGCGCCTCCACACTGCCCCAACTTTCCCTTCCTCCCTGAAACCAATAAAAATGTTTGTTTGTTTTTAAAAGGAAGATGATCAGGGAACCTTCCTGCCCTGTGCGCTGAGGTTGGCATCACTGTCTTAGAAAGATGCTTGTCCCCGTCCTTGGAGATGAAATGGGCTTGTCTCATGGGTGACTCCACACGACTGTGTTATTCATGAAGAATTATCACCATTTCACTCAAAAATTCCCAACACATCTTCCCCACGGAAAACTACTACACACATAGGCCGGATGCGTCACTGAAGTCGCATCCAGGGGACAGTCCACAGGGTTTGAGTAAAGCGGATGCAGGGCTGCTTTGGGCACCAACACCCACTCGAGGGGTCTTCGTAAGGAAAGGGTCTGCATCCCACACAACTCGGGCAGGAGCGAATTCTGGGGACGACCCGTCCACAGGTGGTCAATAGCGGACACTGCATTTTCTGAACGCATTTAACTAACGTAAGAAATGACACACTACGTTTCCCTGTGAGTTCACAGCTCCTGAAAGGACACAGTGCCCTCAATGTCACATGGACATTACTAGTAACATCGGTGTCATCCGGTGTCCAGCACACAGGACTGGCACTGGCTGGCGAGGGGACGGAGGGTCGGCCTACCTTTGTGCATATTTCCGTGTCGGGGTTGCACTGTAAGATGTCTCTCACCATGGTCGCGTTCCCTTTCTCAACAGCCCAGTACAGAGCAGTTTTATTGTCCTGTCAATAAAAACCAGCGATGGCTGCATGTGGGACGCATGCTCTAACATGCTCTTATACATACTAAGGGTCCTCGGGAACCTCCTGCCGACAGCAACGGGAGGGCTCACCCACAGCTGCGTGGCGGGAACACCAGGAACCCTCGCCGCACCCTAGACCGACCTGTGGGGTTTGTTATGAAGGGAGCCTGGGGAGCTTCTATTACTTGGCTCACGTGGTCGACAGGTCACGTGCATTTCTGTGCTGTGACCAGGCTTCGGGACCACGCGCTGGGCTCCAAGTCTTCAGGACCTGAGCTCCCCCCGTGGACAAGGGCCCTTGGCGTTCCCTCTGTCCAGTCTTTTCAAAGGGATGCATGAGGGTGCACTGCACAAGCCTCGGGCTACTGCTTCCGCCACGTTCAGCTTTCTTAACCCCGCCCCCGCCCAACCACCACCACGGGCCAATCTTGATCATTTTTTAAAATCCCATCTAGCTCAAAACCCAAAAATACATCAACATAGACCTTGAAGTGGAGCTAGAGATTTACTAGTTTGATTCAAAAATGGATTTGGATACAAGTGAATAAAGCAAAAATTGAGCGGAAACCAGAGTGTCCAACAACAAAATGAGCTAAAGCTCTGAAATATTGGATAAACCCACAAATTTAGGGATGTTTTACCTAAATTAATAACCTTTGGGCGAAGGCTGCCTTGGCAAAGCCCACAGGCACCACCAGTGCCCAGGAGAGGCAGGCGGACGGGGGAAGGAGAGGAGCGATGCAGCGGCGGGAAGGGGCGAAGCAGACAGACAGAGGGAAACATAAAGGAAGTAAAGACACTGCCATCTGCATAACACACTTCAGCGACGCCCAGTCTCAGTGCTCTCGGCTGCTCACTGCAGGACTGAGTATATTTCTCCATCAGTAACGGGTGCACTCAAACCCCGAGCTATTTTAACTCACTTCTCTCTAAAGCAAACCTGGCATCCACACAGGAATTCCCTAACAGCACCGTGGACGTGAGAGGCATTGTGAAGCATATCGGGGCTTCCAGCTGGCAGATGGCACGGTGATCAGCCAACCTGACAGCCCATCACACTCCGAGCCCACCACCCGCAGCCACACGTACCTGCCCTCGAATGTCGATGTCCGCGTACTTCTGGAGCAGCGCGCGGACGATTTCCACGTGGCCGCCTCTGACGGCGCCGATCAGCACGGTGTCCCCACTCTGCACAGACAGACCACAGGGGAATGAGCAGCAGACGAGCACGCTCTGCAGCAGGTCAGTACGTATAACGCAACCGCTTTTCCTGAAAATCCCGCGGCACAGAGGCCTCTCCCTGAAGGGAGGACTCTGAGGAACTAACCACCCCGAGAGAAGGCCCGCGTGCAGGAAGAACCTAGGGAGGCGGTGGGACACTGAGGTCGTCTCCCATCGACGTCACTAGGAGACCACAGGCACCCACCCTGTCGGGGATGTTCACGTAGGTGCCGGCATCCAGCAGATCCTGCACGATCTCCGTGTGCCCCTCCTTGGACGCGATCATCAGCGCCGTGTTGCCATCCTTGTCTGTCAAGTTCACATTTGGATTCCTCTTCAAGATTTCTTTTACTGACTGTGTGTAGCCTCCTTTTACAGCCACGATAAGTGCAGTCATTGAATTCTAAGCACAGAAACCAGCCCAAGAAATTAATATATACTAGAAAATATGATTTATGCCATAATAATACAATGATGTTTTCAAGAAGGTGGCCTATCACAGTTGTTTCTGACAATAAAGTGTCAACATAAATAACCAAAAACACACAAGTGCCAGGAGGCGTGTTTTCTATTTTTGAAAATCCATTCATCCCCCTGAGTCCACAGGACCCTGTGACCTTCAGTTCTTTCAGTGATGACCCGACAGTGGGCTCGTTCACAGTAAACAACCTCCTCACACAGGGAATGGAGTATAAAACAGTGGGTGGGGTGATTCAAATCAAACACATTCTAAACTCAACGATCCAAAGTAAGGCTTTCGACTTCAAACGAAGAAATGTTTATAACAAAATCTATGGGGGAAACTGAAAACAATGACTTAATAACTACAGAAAATTTCACTAAAAGTATATTCTTCTTTTTTACAGTGATCTAGAAACCTCATTTTCAAAAACTCTTATTTTAGAGGTTCTTAAAAAACTGCACATCTAGCTTATAACAATAAATCACCTAGCACACACTTTATGTGCATTAGCCATAGATCCTTAAGAGCAGAACTTGATGCACATGACACCTGTAATGTAACACACTGTCAGCATAACAGAAAGAGAACGCTTGTCTCCAAGTATCTCTGAGACCCGCAGGCGGTTTCTCCAGGTGCCGATAGGAGAACATCCTCTGAAAACGACAAGCACGTGTCACCGGTGGTGAGAACAGGGACGGTACGTACGGCGCCTTCTTGGTCCACGTCGGCGCCCATGGCCAGGAGGTGCCTCACACAGTCCAGGTGACCCTTTCGCGCCGCCCACACCAGAGGGGTGGTTCCGTACTGTGAAAGCAGTACACATTACAACCGTATCAGCGGGCGGCCGCAACGTGGATACACATCATGCTGAGTATTCTTAGATTACTGCCTACACCCTCATAATTCTAATTGTAGCTAAATCACATTTCCCCTTTTATTTCTCCAGGTTAGGTGATTAGCCGCTGCATGAAATACCTTTTAACCAACTTTATCTTTTATCATCAGTGACTGAATTTCCCATCATGAAGTCACACTCTGATTTCCACAAGCCCCACTGCTTCCATGGCTTGTGAAGCACAAGTTAAAGTGCAGCAGTGTGACTACAGGGGAAAACGGCAACAATCAAGTGCCAACCACGGTTCTAGTGACTTCACGTGTAACCCATGGAATCCTATCACGAGTGAGGACACGTGGCCATGTCGCATTTTCCCTGAGAAGCAGTGATGGGCTCACAGTCACAAAGCTAGTGATTAGGAGGTGGAGTTGGACCCTGAACCCACAGCCTGGCTCAGTCCGTGCTCTGACCCACACCCCGCCTCAGCTCTGCCCAGGAAGGTGAGCTGCAGCCTCGGACGGCACTCAACAGCACCTCCTGCTGGAACTCGATGCAAAAGGCATCAGACACAACTCATGCAGAACCAGCCCTGCTCTGCCTTGGGGGGCGCGGCGGCCAGAGCCAGGGCCGCCACCGGGACCGTCAGCTCGAGGAGCCCGCAGGTGCATGAGCCTCTGCCGACGGCGTCCCGGAGGATGCTGTGCCGTGGAAATGCCATCGTTCTGCACAGCCCACCGCAGTGCCAGGCACCTACGGCTACTGGGCACCTGAGCTGGGGCCAGTGTGACGATTTCATCTTATTTTAGTTGATCTGAGTCTAGGCAGCTATGTGGCCGGTGGCCACTGTGCAAACGGCACCTCTCTGGGTCCCATCAGACACCCCAGGAACCACAGCTACAAGCTGCAGCCCGGCTCTCCCTGGGGGCAGGGCCTCTGAGGGCAGCCTGGGCACCAGCGCCTCGGTGGGAGGAGCCTGCAGAGGGAGGGCAGTGGTCCAGGCCACCCCGTGGAGCAACCTTAGGGGCGGGAGAAGGAATACTGGAGGCACTTCCCCAGCTCACTCTTACATCTCTATTCCCCCGGAATTAAATTCCTTCTAGCTCCTCCTTTGCGGAGAACATTTTCTTCTGGCTAAGACGCCTTCCTAAGTCTACAAATCAACAATCTTCGACATCTTCAGAGACGCTATAACTGAGCGCTCCTCCTCTGAGCACTCTCTCCTTCCAGAGCGGACTATCCCAGACCACATGCTCCAAACCACCCTCCCCCCCAGCCAGGCCCTCACCCTCCTCAGCAGGGAACTCTCATTGGGAGGGTCCCTGACATGTGGCAACGTCCCTGCAGGGGGTACTCGGACCGCCTCAGCAAGTCTCCCCGCTTTTTCTCAAAGCCGGGCCCTCTCCCCAGGAAACCTAACCGCTCCGCGCGCACTATGGGCCCCATTTCCCTCGTTTCATCTAGAAACGTACGCAGTGACCTCCTCCCGCGTCCGCGCAGCCTCAGGAGACGGTGTGAAAACTTGTAAGTTACACTGAGTGACAGCACGTGGACGGGAGCTGAGGGGCCTGCTGGCCTACCTTGTCGGAGCAGTTGACCTTGGCGCCGTTCTGCAGCAGCAGCTGCACTATGTCTGCGTGGCCTCTGCCTGCTGCCCAGATGATGGGGTAGACACTGTACTGCTGGCGCACAGGCAGGCAGGCAGGTGGTGGACAGAGAGGGGAGGGAGGGAGAGAGGCAGGGAGAGAGGGAAGAAAAACCTTTAGGCAGATGCTACAGCACACATTTGCTAAGAAGAGTAAGTAATAAACGGAATAATATGAAGTAGTATTTTTAATATCAAATTACAGACCCTTCTCCACTTTAAAAACACACAGCACTCTAGCCTGACTGGCAGCTGAGAAGCACTCCACCTTAAATACGTCCCCTGGCCGCATTCATTTTAGTTTCAGCTCATTTGATCGGTTATCAGGCCAACAGGCAGGACTGACAGCAGGCGTGTGAAACTTTTCTTACATAAATAACCCTTCCACGAACTGGAATAAAAGTTCTTTGTTTCAACCTTATTGAGGTGTAGTGGACACAACTGTGAGAGAGTTGAAGTGTACATTAAATGATATACCATCAATAAAAGTTTCTTAATCTGCAATCTGAGATCAAGTCTCGCACAAGGTAGTAACGAATATATCGCCATCTATAAGACACAGAAAAATGTCTCTTTTCTTTAAAAAAAAAAAAAAATTTAGATTGAAATACAGGCCCACAGAACACCGGCCAGAGGACTCAGGGTTTCCGAACTCCTTCCGACATGTAGACGGTTGTAATTGACAGGGAAGCTCTAGGAGTCACCTTTTGTTGATACAAATTGAGAAGCAAGCTGAGCCTGAGAATGAGGTGCTCCTGCGCTGAGTCCCCCTCTTCATGCTTATCTTTAAGATCTGGGTCATCTGGGTCGCTCTGAAGCCTACAGTGCCCTCAGCTGCGGCCTTCCCCCGAGAACTGGCCACCCACCCTGCAGGTGGGCTTGAGCGCATGCTTACCAGACCAGTGACGTTGGGATTGGCTCCATGCGAGAGCAGCAACTCGACCACGTCGGTCCGGCCTTTATAACACGCCCACATCAGAGCTGTCCATCCTCCCTAAAAAGGGGCGGGGATAAAACTGTGGGTAGTCTCCACGCACAAACAGGCCAGTAATTATAGAGCTGAACATTCAGTCAAGTCTTACATACACCAATATTTAATCTGTAAAATGCCTGCTCAGAATTGTTTTAATATCATGCCCCACTTTAATTTATATAACGTCACCCTATGCCAGACTCTATGAGATAAAAATTTTATCTTGAGAAAACTATGTCCAAATTTGCCAAGTGAGAAGACTGGAACCGACCGCCTTCAGCAAGAGCTGCGGGTGGGCTACCATTGGAGGTGCTCGAGAGAAAGAACCCTCACTGGACTTCCTGACATCAGACCTGGAGGACTCCACCCGCAGGGAACGCCTCTCCTCACACAAGTCCCAGGACCACGCCTCCCCTCACAGGCAGCGGCGACTCCCACCGCCAGTCCATCCCAATACCAAGGGAGACACAGTCCTGTTTCCCCGATTTGTGGTGTTTTACACAAAGACCCTTTACATGTGAAAAGCTGTGATAATTACCTGGGGGGAATGAGAAGTATGGAGAACCTACAGGGCTTAGGAAATCATTTGTTACAGATCTTACTAAACCCTGCACATTCGCGCTGTGTGCTTACACTTCCTGACTCCCTTGCAGACACGGGTTCGGAACAGCCTGACTGCTTCACTGCTGGGGGAGCGGGGCCTGGGCCCGCCTTCAGTCTCATTCCCGAGCCACGTGCACTGAGAACAGTGACCCTCGGCCCACAGGATTGTTCCCAGAACAACGAACACAGCAGAAGTGCACGATGGTGGGAGGCTGCAGATTCTTAAAAACTCAGACCACCTACACGCTGAAGCATCATCAGCAAAGTAATGCCTGTTTCATAGATCAGGGCAGATCACCTCCTTTCTTTCTTCCATTATTAAAATGAACTTTCCAAAAGACTAAAAATTTTGCAGAATAAATAAGCCAAAAATGATCCCTTTCTTAACCTTTATGCTTTAAGCAGATGCCAAGAGCAAATAAGAGCTAATTAAGAATCATATCTTGTTAAGCTTATCATGTATAGATAGCATGTCTGAACACAATTACATGTTAAAAATAAGTTTATAAATGTCATTCTGAAAATTATGACTAAACAACTGAAACTATGTCCCTCTTAAAATTCCTCTTAAAGGAAACATTCTCTCATAAGTTCTAAAACACTGACATACTAAACGGTGGTGAGTATTTTAACAATATTTCAGAATTTTAAACTCTAAAATAAACTGGAGATGATGACTAAGGATATTCTAGAAGAGGCAGATATTATACGGCCTGGGTGTTAAACATCCTGAGGGTCATTTAATGACATCCTCAAAACAGCGTTGTGTCACCGCGCCCAAGCTCCCCGGGTCCGTCACCGATAACAGTCCGCGCCGAGGGCGAGGGAGCAGCGCCCGTACCATGTCGCGGTGCTCCAGGTTCCCCCCGCACTTCAGCAGCTCCTCCACCACGTGCAGGTGCCCTTCTTTGGAGGCCGATATAAGCGCTGTCCAGTTATCCTTGAACACAAGACACTACGTTACCGTTTCAAAACCAAAAATAACATTCAAAACGAGGAAAAAGCAGCCTGAAGACATGTGACTGTGCGACCAAAGGATCACGCCCGACTGCCATTTACCACTCGACTCTAACGTAACCCTGACCCTCAGCCGGGGGAAGGATCTGTCTGCCTGTATTACTACCATGCGCAGAAGTGCTTCCACAGCTGCTTGGTCAGTCTTTTCCCCAGACGTCTAATCACACCCCAGGCTTTCTAAAAAGGAGAGAAGATGACTAGCAAAACCTCAGAGCTAATCCTGTGCTAGCAGCCATCGCGCTAAATGAAATTAAAGACCGCAATGAGACTTAAGAACACACTCGCAAGCGGGCAAACTAAAGCGATCCCATGATGAGTTTAGAAACGATATGATAAAGAAATCACTTATTCTCCTTTATTTTCTTAAGTGAAGGCTACAAGTATCCTATCCTAACTTTTATTCATGAGTGTAATTTTTTTTTTATATATTTTATTGATTTTTTACAGAGAGGAAGGGAGAGGGATAGAGAGTTAGAAACATCGATGAGAGAGAAACATCGATCAGCCACCTCCTGCACATCTACTGGGGATGTGCCCCCACATGCCCTTGACCGGAATCGAACCTGGGACCTTTCAGTCCGCAGGCCGACGCTCTATCCACTGAGCCAAACCGGTTTCGGCTCATGAGTGTAATTTAATTCAAATGACCACTCAATAAAAATCATCAATTGAAAATAATCAATTAAAAAACAACAACACACAGATGTAACCCTAGCCAGTTTGGCTCAGTGGATAGAGCGTCAGCCTGCGGACTGAAAGGTCCTGGGTTTGATTCTGGTCAAGGGCACATGCTCAGGTTGTAGGCTCGATCCCCAGTAGGGGGTGTGCAGGAGGCAGTCAATCCATGATTCTCTCTCATCATTGATGTTTCTCTCTCTCTCTCCCTCTCCCTTCTTCTCTGAAATCAATAAAAATATAAAATAAAATGAAAAAAAAACAGATGTAGGTGTGTAAGTAACCCTAAACAATAATTCCTGGGAAACAGCAAGAGAAATGAGAGCCTCCTGGAACAGTGATCGACCGCTCAAAGTGGAGTCAGAAGGCACTGCATCTTCCTGGCTGTGGCCATGTAATGACACTGATAACAACAGACAGCATTAGGCGGCGTAACTGGTAACATGACTCATACATGGGTATGTTCTAGGCAGGCATTTGATTTCATGTGTGCGCTCCCTATTCACAGTGCCATCTACATAGAACAACATGAAGAGCTGAGACCTTTCATTCAAAGTAAAAACTTCTCTACCTTTTTAAAAATTAACTTAGCATTTTACTAGGCAAAGTTGATATGTAACTGATAGTATAATTGGTCACCCATTAGTTTAGAATCATTTCATCAAACAAACAGCCAAGTTAAGGAAAAGAAAGAGAGGCCCATGAGCGCCTTCCTTCAGGAGGTACCAAGTCTTCCAGGTTGCAGTTGGCTCCATTCTTGATCAGCTCCTTCACGATCTCCAGGTTGCCCTGCTCGGCGGCTATCATCAGCGGGGTCTGGCCGCACTGGGGACAGAAAGGACACGATCAGGTCCAGCGCTGTGCTTGACCGAGACGCCGTTAGCACCACGCTCTCTTTTTCACAGCGAGACGGCAAGCACTGCTTACAGGGTTTCTTTAATTTAGAAACACCTTTGAAGTCTTAAGTTTTCAATTTACTAACAATGTAAAAGTCAAAGAGAGAACAAAACCTTTTTTTACCACAGCATGACTAACCTGTTATCAGCACTGCAATTTCATTCAAAATCTATCAATACCATTAGCACCAGGCTCTGAAAGTAATCACCACAATGTAACAACAACCTTAGGGTACCAATGGGAACCGAATTCTCTCTACAATACAGTTACATTATGATACATGTACTATCAGGACTAAAGGGAGAAAGGTTCGCACATATACACATACATGTATATGTGAAAACTAAACTAACTTCTTCTGATCTTATCCACTGGCAAAAAAAATTATACTATATGAAAAATACAGTTTCAAGAAACAAAATTATTTTTATCATTATGTTTTATAAAACAAGTACATACTTTGCTTAAAAAAATTCATACAAAAAATCTATTAGCCCATAAAATGTTGCAGCTGTTCATGATGAAATAAGATTAACATTTTATTTATATCCCCAGTCTATTGTTGACTAGAAATATCTACTATAATGAAATGGTAAATGTATACTTCCCTGTCTTATTAAACAGAACAAATGACTATTTAACTCTCTCTTAAAGATACAGGGTCTTTAAAATCCCAAGGTGTGTGGCATGGACACCTCAGAAAGGTAATTGGGGCTCCATTCAAGGAAATATTTCAAAGTCCTAATTTTGTTTGGCTAATCTATTTATAGAAGCTCTCTGGAGCGTCCTACAAGCACGTTAGATTTTAGTAATCAAACTTCCTGAATATTGATTATTCCATCTGCAAAAAAGGCAATCATAAATCTAAATTCAATACATAATAATTTATGTAAGTTCAAATGCATTCCAAAAATATGGAACTGGAAGTACATTAACTATAAGAATTGTCCTTATTTTAAGTCAGTATCACCCAGGGAGTGATACTTTCTTACTCACTCGCCTCGACCCGTGCACACTGCCTGCACACGGGGCACCACACACACTGCCTGCACACGGGGTACCACACACGCTGCCTGCACACGGGGTACCACACACGCTGCCTGCACACGGGGCAGCACACGCTGCCTGCACACGGGGCATCACACACGCTGCCTGCACACGGGGCACCACACACGCTGCCTGCACACGGGGCACCACACACGCTGCCTGCACACGGGGCACCACACACGCTGCCTGCACACGGGGCACCACACACGCTGCCTGCACACGGGGCACCACACACGCTGCCTGCACACGGGGCATCACACACGCTGCCTGCACACGGGGCATCACACACGCTGCCTGCACACGGGGCACCACACACGCTGCCTGCACACGGGGCACCACACACACTGCCTGCACACGGGGCACCACGCATCCCTGTGAGGAGGAGCAGCGCCGCCCGTTCCCACCTCGTTTCTCTCGTCCACGTCTTTGCATTTCTCCAGAAGCGCCTTCAGGGCCGGGATGTTTTCCTCCTCCACATAATTGATCACACTCTGTGATATCAGAACCGACATGTTTGCAGAGGCTGCGGTTACCTCTATCCCAATACCTGCGGAAAGCAGAGATAAAATACACAGGGTTGCCCTAGCTGGTTTGGCTCAGTGGATAGAGCATCGACCTGCAGACTAAAGAGTCCCAGGTTTGATTCCGGTCAAAGGCACATGCCCGGGTTGCGGGCTCGATCCCCAGTGGGGGCCGTGCAGGAGGCAGCCGATCCATGATTCTCTCTCATCAATGATGTTTCTCTCTCTCTCTCCCCCTCTTCCTTCCTGACATTAATAAAAATAAAATGAATAAATAAAATATACAGGGTTTGTGATTAGAAAAACAGCGCCCCTTAGCTCGTACAGATCACCTTCCACTGGGCAGGACTGAAGGCAAGCGCCCAGCTCAGCGGGCGAAACGCCCGCTCTGTCTTTCCCA